TTAAGTGAATTTACTTCATTTGCAAAGCCCTTATTTGGTAGAAAAGCAAATCACTTTGGTCAGGTGAAACAGATATATCTCCAAAGATTTATAACCTCTTGGATTAATAAAATAATTTTAATAATCTTATCCTAACATTTCTTTCTACATTGTCTATAAATACTCTAATATCTTAAAGGTTCTTTGAATTTAATACAGCATTTTACCTGTTGGTTCATTTATTGAAAAGTGAAGCTCTTTGACACAAATTCATTTTTATTTGTTGATCATGATTTTTTGTTAAAAAAAAAATGAGATATTATGTGCTTGTGACTGGAGACTGTGACACTGGAAATAAAGACAGTCTACAGTCTAAGAGATAAGATGTTCCTGTCATCTTCATCCTTAGGCCCGGGATATTACACACTCGTCTCTCAATGCCATGGCAAATCATCGATAAGCAGCACACAGTATGGTGGAAATTGCAGACAGGAAAGCAGATTCTTCATCAAGCATGGGTTCATTGTGGACCAAGAAAATGCTCTGGCCACTACAGAAAAACCTCTGAAATCTGTTAAGATCTATCTAAATATCAAATTAAAGTAAAAGAATGGACTGAATTTCCTTTTGTTGTCATATGAAAATATAGTCTAAAAAGTCTGCAGATATGTTTTTTAGTTTTTCTAAAGAAGGTATTTCTGTTTAACTATGTATTATGCTGAATCTACAATACATTGGCCACTTGATGAGAAGAGGTGATTCATTGGAAAAAACACTGATGCTGGAAAGTCTGAAGGCAAAGGGAAAAGGAGGAGGTGGGAGATTTTTACCCATTACAGAGAAATATTATCTCTATCCAGTAGAAAAGATAAAGGTTATAATATAATGCAATAAACCTTTTTGATCTAAATTGCTCTGTTGACTTTAATTCAATCTTCTTCCCTTCTTACCCAATTGTGATGGTGGTGGTGGTAGTAGTGGTAATGGAGGTTGTAAATATTTCCTCTATACATCTTGATTTTGGATTAGCAAAGGAAAAATAAATTAAATGTATATTTCATACATACAGAGGAAGAGACCCAGTTCGCTTCAGTTCAGTTGTTCAGTCACGTCCGACTCTCCGCAACTCCATGGACTGTAGCATGATAGTCCTCCCTGGCAATCAACAACGCCCGGAGTTTACCCAGACTTATGTCCATTGAGTCGGTGATGCCATCCAACCATCTCATCCTTTGTCGTCCCCTTCTCCTCCCGCCTTCAATCATTCCCAGCATCAGGGTCTTTTCAAGTGAGTCAGTTCTATGCATTAGGTGGCCAAAGTATTGGAGTTTCAGCTTCAGCATCAGTCTTTCCAATGCATATTCAGGACTGATTTCCTTTAGGATGGATTGGTTGGATCTCCTTGCAGTCCAAGGGACTCTCAAGAGTCTTCTCCAACACTACAGTTCAAAAGCATCAATTCTTCAGCACTCAGCTTTCTTTATAGTCCAACTCTCACATCCATACATGACTACTGGAAAAACCATAGCTTTGACTAAGTGATGGACCTTTGTTGGCAAAGTAATGTCTCTGCTTTTTAATATGCCATCTATGTTGGTCATAACTTTTCTTCCAAAGAGCAAACCTCTTTTAATTTCACGGCTGCAGTCACCATCTGCAGTGATTTTGGAGCTCAAGAAAATAGTCTGTCACTGTTTCCATTGTTTCCCTATCTATTTGACATGAAGTGATGGGACCAGATGCCATGATCTTAGTTTTCTGAAATGTTGAGTTCCAAGCCAACTTTTTCACTCCCCTCTTTCACTTTTATCAAGAGGCTCTTTAGTTCTTCACTTTCTGCCATATAAAGTTGGCATCATCTGCATATCTGAGGTTATTGATATTTCTCTGGGCAATCCCGATTCCAGCTTGTGCTTCGTTCAGTCCAGCATTTCTCATGATGTACTCTGCATATAAGTTAAATAAGCAGCATGATAATATGCAGTCTTGACATACTCCTTTCCCTATCTGGAACCAGTCCGTTGTTCCATGTCCAGTTCTAACTGTTGCTTCCTGAGATGTGTACAGATTTCTCAAGAGGCAAGTCAGGTTGGTATGGTATTCCCAACTCTTTCAGAATTTTCCACAGTCTGTTGTGGTTCATGCAGTCAAAGGTTTTGGCATAGTCAATAAAGCAGAAGTAGATGTTTTTCTGGAACTTTCTTGCTTTTTTGATGATCCAATGGATGTTGGCAAGTTGATCTCCAGTTTCTCAGCCTTTTCTAAATCCAGCTTTAACAACTGAAGTTCCCAGTTCCTGTACTGTTGAAGCCTGGCTTGGAGAATTTTGAGCATTCCTTTGCTAATGTGTGAGATGAATGCAATTGTGCAGTAGTTGAACATTCTTTGGCATTGCCTTTCTTTGGAATTGGAGTGAAAATTGACCTTTTCCAGTCCTGTGGCCACTACTGAGTTTTCCAAATTTGCTGGCATATTGAGTGCAGCACTTTTACAGAATCCTTTTTTTTTAGGATTTGAAATAGCTCAACTGGAATTCCATCAGCTGCAGTAGTTTTTTTCATAGTGATGCTTCCTAAGGCCCACTTGGCTTTTCATTCCAGGATGTCTGGCTCTAGGTGAGTGATCACTCCATTGTGATTATGTGGGTCATGAAGATCTTTTTGTATAGTTTTGTGTATTCTTGCCATCGCTTCTTAATTTCTTCTTAATTTCTTCTGCTTCTTTTAAGCCCATACCATATCTGTCCTTTATTGTGCCCATCTTTTCATGAAATGTTCCATTGGTATCTCTAATTTTCTTGAAGAGATCTCTAGTCTTTCCTATTCTGCTTTCCTCTTTCTTTTCATTGATTGCTGAGGAAGGCCTTCTTATCACTCCTTGCTATTCTTTGGAACTCTGCATTCAAATGGGTATATCTTTTCTTTTCTCCTTTGCCTTTTGCTTCTCTTCTACTCACAGCTATTTGTAAGGCCTCCTCAGACAATCATTTTGGCTTTTTGCACTCTTTTCCTTGGGGAAGAGACATAGGAAAAACTAATTTAAAGAGGTGGGTTAGAACTTCAGCTTACATAGCATCTTCATCAAAGAATAGATTTATAGAGAAATGACAGTGCAAAGAAAAGCAGTTTTAGGCTTCTAAGGGCAGCAAACTGTGAGAAGGTAAATACATGGGAGCAAACTAACCCAGATTTGTTAGCAAATTTCTGTGCAGCCTCTCTACTCTGACATGTCTACAGCCGTCTCCAGGACAGAATTTATATCTTGCCTTAAGGCAGAAGAAGAGGAGTAGAGAGGGCTTTTTCTTGCCATTATTGCTTATTAACTGCCTGCTGCTGCTAAGTCACTTCAGTCGTGTCCGACTCTGTGCGACCCCATAGATGGCAGCCCACAAGACTCCCCCATCCCTGGGATTCTCCCGGCAAGAACACTGTTGTGGGTTACCATTTCCTTCTCCAATGCATGAAAGTGAAGATGCTCAGTGTCAAACTGTTAGCGACCCCATGGACTGCAGCCTAGCAGGCTCCGCCGCCCATGGGATTTTCCAGGCAAGCGTACTGGAGTGGGGTGCCACTGCCTTCTCCTATTAAATGCCTAGGGAGGTAAAATAAGGGAAAGCATCACAACAATTCTTATCGACAAAGTAGGTGGCTCTAAAAAGAGCCTTTTTCAGGACAGAGAAAGCAGTAGCCTTGGATTACGCCCTCTCCCCGCGGATGCGGCGGGCAAGCTGGATGTCCTTGGGCATGATGGTGATGCACTTGGCGTGGATGGCGAACAGGTTGGTGTCCTCGAAGAGCCCCACCAGATAGGCCTCGCACGCCTCCTGCAGCGCCATCACAGCCGAGCTCTGGAAGCGCAGGTCGGTCTTGGAAGTCCTGCGCGATCTCGCGCACCAGCCGCTGGAACGGCAGCTTGCGGATCAGCAGCTCCGTGGACTTCTGATAACGGCGGATCTCGCGCAGAGCTACCGTGCCGGGCCGGTAGCGGTGCGGCTTCTTCACGCCGCCGGTGGCCGGCGCGCTCTTGCGGGCCGCCTTGGTGGCGAGCTGCTTGCGCGGCGCCTTGCCGCCGGTGGACTTGCGAGCCGTCTGCTTCGTGCGAGCCATGGGACTAACAGAAAACTGGCAGGAGAGTGTTATGCTGCCAGTGCTGCCTCTGACCTTACTTATAGGAACAGTCAGTTTGATTCCTAGATCCCGCGCTGTGATCTAATTGGTTCTCACTTTGCCTTTCGAAGAAATATGATCGGAATTCCTTTAAAGATTAAATGTATAATCGAATTTTTATCCGGAGTCTATAGTCCAGGATAACATGAGTGCATAACAGTAATATAACAGTGAGGTTTCATTTCGTACTGATTTTAATGTAGTTCATTCATTGCATTTTAGGAATAGAAAAATAACCAACGGACTAAACAATTCTAATCTCGTCATCAGCAAAATTTAAAAAGCCCGCCCTGACATGTCATTGGCCAGCTATTCCTCCTTTGTTCTCTTGTTTATTTATATTATACTTTTTGACAGGATATTCATTTGAGTATGCATATATATATGTAAAAACATATACATCGTGTACAATACACGCAAAACCTCTCAATGAGGCATTACGGTCTTGTTATTTACGTACATATACGTCATTCATAGTCTACAAGCCCAAATTTATGTCCTGATACGGAATTCCCTCAATAGTTTTTGAATTAACAAATTATATCTTTTGTTTCAGTTATAGGGGACGGTAGGAACCTACTAACATTTTTCAGACTTTATGATGCGTAAGTGACCAATGGTTAACAATTTGGCACCTTTGTTGCAAATATGGGAGATGCTTTCCCCTGTTTAAACACAACACTTCACACTATACTAGTAAATAAAAGTTAGCTCCAACAATTCATTCGTTTTCATTGGAACACGCCCCCTATACTCCGTAAGTATTCCAGCACTTCCGTGAAAAAGTGGGTGGCTCTTAAAAGAGCCTTTGTTTTTCAGAACTGGGAATATAATACTGCTAAACGTTTCACTTGCCCTTGGCCTTGTGGTGGCTCTCGGTCTTCTTGGGCAGCAGCACCGCCTGGATGTTGGGCAGGACACCGCCCTGAGCGATGGTCACACGACCCAGCAGCTTGTTGAGCTCCTCGTCGTTGCGGATGGCCAGCTGCAGGTGGCGCGGGATGATGCGCGTCTTCTTGTTGTCCCGGGCCGCGTTGCCCGCCAGCTCCAGGATCTCGGCCGTCAGGTACTCCAGCACCGCCGCCAGGTACACCGGGGCCCCGGCCCCGACCCGCTCGGAGTAGTTCCCCTTGCGGAGCAGCCGGTGCACTCGGCCCACGGGGAACTGGAGCCCGGCGCGCGAAGAGCGAGTTTTAGCCTTGGCGCGAGCCTTCCCGCCTTGCTTCCCGCGCCCAGACATGGTATGCGTTGAACAACAGTACAACCGCCACAGGAAAAGCAGAAAAAAAAGTGATCTGTAAGCAGCAACAAGATGGCAGTTATAGTGCTGCGTGGAATTGCTGCAAGCGAGATAGGATTGGTTAAAATCTTCTGTTTTCTGTCTAACCAATAAGAAAAGAGATATGGTGGAGGTAAATTTACATAATCTCGTCACCAATGCGTTGTCAAATCAGATATGAATATTCGTAAACACCTTATTTGCATAGACCACCTATAAAAGAGCAGATTCTAGTTATAAGCGGGTAGTTCCTGATCTTGTGTTGGTCGGTGCTGTGTTTTTAGACATGCCTGAACCGGCTAAGTCCGCTCCCGCCCCTAAAAAGGGTTCTAAGAAGGCGGTGACTAAAGCGCAGAAGAAGGACGGCAAGAAGCGCAAGCGCAGCCGCAAGGAGAGCTACTCCGTGTACGTGTACAAGGTGCTGAAGCAGGTCCACCCGGACACCGGCATTTCGTCCAAGGCCATGGGCATCATGAACTCCTTCGTCAACGACATTTTCGAGCGCATCGCGGGCGAGGCGTCGCGCCTGGCGCATTACAACAAGCGCTCGACCATCACATCCAGGGAGATCCAGACGGCCGTGCGCCTGCTGCTTCCCGGGGAGCTGGCCAAACACGCGGTGTCTGAGGGCACCAAGGCCGTCACCAAGTACACCAGCTCCAAGTAAATTATGCCTGGCCGCTGTTAAACCAAAGGCTCTTTTCAGAGCCACTTACATTTTCATTTAAGGAGTTGTATACTTTTTCTGCTCTTTCTTTCCCGGGCATTAAAATGCAGTTACGTTTGGTGCCCGAGATAGTGAAGTGAGAAGCTTATATTTTGGGAAGGAAGCTGTTAATCTAATATTTCCCCAAACCCGTTCTGTACTAAAAAGGCCAGTTTTTTTTTTTTTTTTTTCTCATACAGAAAGGAAGGGCTGCTGGCTAGGTGACGTTAAGAAGAGGGAACTTACTATCCTAGCAATGGTCTGGCATCCTGGTACCAAGAATTGGTTGTAGTTCCCAGCTTCCCCCAATCTCTTTCAGGCCAGATTCTATGTTTCCACATCAACCTGACCCACAGAGTTAGGATCCTTAACTTTTATCAGGCCTCCCCTCCAGAGTTAAAGATGCTCTGCCCGTCCCGCCCCCCGCCCCTCGCCTGCGTATGGCAGGACCCCTTGATTACCTTTGTAAAAACAACCAATAGTTTTTTAGTTTCGTGACGGGACATTGAAGTGTTGCCAACCCTCCCTTGATTTAAAGCTTTTCCTTGTTTTACTTAGTTCAAAAGTATTAGGCACTTTGATAATCATTGCATTTTCCTTAATCTGGATGTCGAGAGATTTCAGAAAAAACAAGAAATTCACCAAGAAGAGAGTTGTAGCCTAATGCTGGGAGAGGAGGTTATTCTTGTAAAAAGACTTCTTGATGTGTTGAGAGATCTGTAGATGTGGTGTTTTTCAGTTCTATCTGGACATCTTTGAAAGAACATTGTCTCAGAAGAACATTAGTTTGAATTTAAATTTTGTGAGGTAAATAGTCTTTGGTTCTCACAGCCTCAGTTTCTTACTTTAAAAATGAGAATATTATGGGAGTTCCCTGGGTAGTCCAATGGTTAGGACTTGGCTTTTTCACTGCCTTGGCCTGTTCAATCCTTGGGAGGGAAACTAAGATCCTGCAAACTCTGTGGAGCAGCCCCGCCCCCCCCTCCTCCCCATTATTGTAACCAATTCCATTGACAACACTTATGTGTGAAAAAAATGCAATAATTATAATAAATACAAACATGTTAGATAGATGTACAACTCATGAAGTTATTTATGGACATTATGAGGTCTTTTTTTCATCATTCCTACACTTAACATATAATAAAGACAAGTTTTTGAAGTACTATTATACTCAAAGTAATAATAATACTATAATGAATGAGGAAAGTTCTGGTCCATGAAATTAGATATTCTTTTGTTTAGTACTACCCTATGTGGACTTCTGCGGAAAATTCTTCAAGAGATAGGAATACCAGAACATCTTACTTGCATCCTGAGAAATCTGTATGCAGGTAAAGAATTAACAGTTAGTCTGGACATGGAACAACAGACTGATTCCAAACTGGGAAAGGAGTACAAGGCTGTATATTTTCACACTGCTTATTTAACTTCTATGCAGATAATATCATGTGTAATGCCAGGCTGTATGAAGCACAAGCTGGAATCAAGATTGCCAGGAGAAGTATCAGTAACCTCAGATATGTAGATGACACCACCCTTATGGCAGAAAACAAAGAGGAACTGAAGAGCTTCTTGATGAAACTAAAAGAGGAGAGTGAAAAAACTGGCTTAAAACTCAGCATTCAAAAAACGAAGACCATGGCATCTGGTCTCATCACATCATGGCAAATAGATGGTGAAACATTGGAAACAGCGACAGGCTTTCTTTTCTTGGGCTCTAAAATCACTGCAGATCGTGACTGCAGCCATGACATTAAAAGATGCTTGCTCCTTGTAAGAAAAGCTGTGACCAAACTAGACAGCATAGTAAAAAGCAGAGACGTTACTTTGCCAACAAAGGTCAGTCTAGTCAAAGATATGGTTTTTCCAGTAGTCATGTATGGATGTGAGAGTTGGACTATAATGAAAGCTGAGCGCTGAAGAACTGATGTTTTTGAACTGTGGTGTTGGAGGATACTTTTGGGAGTCCCTTGGACTGCAAGATCAAACCAGTCAATCCTAAGGAAAATCAGTCCTGAATATTCATTGGAAGGATTGATGCTGCAGCTGAAGCTCCAATACTTTGGCTACCTGATATGAAGCACTGACTCATTGGAAAAGACCCTGATGCTGGGAAAGATTGAAGGAAGGAGTGTAAGGGGACAACAGAGAATGAGATGGTTTGCTGACATCACGGACTTGATGGACATGAGTTTAAGCAAGCTTAGAGATTTGATGATGGACAGGGAAGCCTGGTGGGCTGCAGTGCATGGTGTCACAAAGAGTTAAACACAGCTGAGTAACTGAGCTGAACTGATGGGGCTTTCCCCCATAACCTTTGTTTTAGATCCTCTCTGATGTATCTTCCCTGATAGCTCAGTTGATAAAGAATCTGCCTGCAGTGCAGGAGACCCTAGTTTGATTCCTGGGTCAGAAAGATCTCCAGGATTGGGACAGGCTACTCACTCCAGTATTCTGGCCTGGAGAGTTCCATGGACTGTATGGTCCATTGACATGTATATTCTATAGGGTCACAAAGGCTTGTCAGGACTGAGTGACTTTCATTGAAGTATCCACATTTGATGCAAGCTTCGTGACTTATTTTGCAGAAGTGAAAACCCTTCCACTGAGTGGAAGATGTTAACTACTTCATGGCCATGACCACCTAGCTCCATGCCTCCTGGAGCCTAAAGTGAAGTGAAGAGGCTCAGTCACGTCTGACTCTTTGCAACCCCGTGGACTGTGGCCTAACAGGCTCCTCCATCCATGGGATTCTTCAGGCAAGAATACTGGAGTGTGTTGCCATTTCCTTCTCCAGGGCATCTTCCTGAACTAGGGATCAAACCCGGGTCTCCTGCATTACAGGTAGATGCTTTACCCTCTGAGGGAAGAGGGTAAACCTTTTCCCTAAGATCTGATCAATTTAACACTTGTAACACCACACTGTTACTCTTTATAAGTCAGTGAGAGAATTTTGTATAATCTAATCAAGTAACCTGGGAGACCACTTCCCTCAGCCAGTTTTTAAAAACCCTTCCAAGAGCTTGAGGCTTTTTAGGGGCTGAATCACCTCTCATTGCAAGGCTTTAGATTAAGCCTTTCTCTATTCCCAATGCCAACGTTTTAGTTTGGCCTCACTGTGTGTTGGGCACAGGAGACTGAATTAACATTTTTGCTGTTAAAACATAGACACCCTAGCTACAAAAGGAAATGTAAACTGTTGCTGTTAAAGCAATGTCAAAATTACGTGAGTCTGCAGCATTTAGGAAGCATTTACTAGTATCTATGGAGAAGGCATGGCAACCCACTCCTGTACTCATGTCTGGGAAATCCCATGGATGGCGGAGCCTGGTAGACTACACTCCGTAGGGGTGTGAAGAGTTGGACAGGTTTGAGTGACTTCACTTTCACTTTTCATTTTCATACACCGGAGAAGGAAATGGCAACCCACTCTAGTATTCTTGCTTGGACAATCCCAGGGACGGGAGCCTGGTGGGCTGCCATCTATGGGGTCGCACAGAGTCGGATACGGCTGACGTGACTTAGAAGCAGCAGCAGTACTAGTATCTATAGTCATTTTCATATTTACCCTTCTAAATTTCAGATATGTAGTTATAATCTTAAAGAACATCATTGAATAAATACATTAATCAATAATTCTTAATTAGGTGCACTAATTCTTAATGTAGGTGCATTAATTTTTGGTTGGTGGTCTGACAAATAATCACAGTTACAGAGGCTTAAAACAATACATTTATAATTTTATGGTTCTTTAGATCAGCATTCAGAAATGAATCTCATTGAGGTAGAATGAAGCTGTCAGAGGGCTTTGGCCTTTAAGAGTGAACCCGTTTCCATGCCTTTTGTAACACCTGGAGTGTTGTCTTTCTTCCTTAGCTCATGGCACCTTTCCTAGATTTCAAAATAAGCAATATCTGGCCAAATCATTTTCATGCTGCTTTCTCTCTGGATATGCACTCTGATTCCTGCTGGGGTCCAGCCCCAGCAGGATCCAGGGGGCACCCCCAGGATGAACAGCGTCGGCGAGAGAGAGAGAAGACACGTTAGACCCGCCTTGATAGGGCCAAGTCTGCGAGGGAGAGAGAGAGAGAGAGTGACCAGACGGGGCGTGCAGCCGAGTCTGGCAGAGTCTGGCAATGCTTTATTTTTTACCGTGGCTTTTATACCCTAAATTAGTACATTTCTAAGGGGAAGATAGTTTAACATTACATCACTTGTTCTTCACTAAACCAGGGTGTTTTCTGCATACTTCTTTGTTTATGAGGGTCTTGTACATTATCTTCTGGCCTTGGGGCCTATTAGCATTTTATGCAAGTCAGGTGAATGTAAACCTATTTTCTGTTTCTATGGTGACCTTAACTGAAAGGTAGCAGTCTCATAGGGCAACAGTACAGAATAGAAGTCTAACCTTGTTAAGATAAAATTTAATCCTTCTGCAGAAGTTGTCAGTTGAGTTTATCTAAGAAGTTTACCCCACACTGACTCTGTGGCTTTGGTGAGGCAGCTTCTGCCTAGCATTCCTGGCTGACAATTAACAACCATTTCATTGTTACCACACTAGGGCTAAGTTCTTATTTCTCTAGATCTTTAACTATATTAACAATGGTTTCTATTACACAACCTTAGCACATTAAAAGCAAAAACACAGCAAGCAAAACACAGCAAGCAAACATCAACCCAATAACCACCTTTAGAATAATTTTTCTTATGTTTTCTAATAGGACTCCTTCACCCCCCAAAAATGCTCTATGTCTATTAGGGCTTTTATATACCCAGGTTCTTTATGCTATTTTATGATTAGGGTATTATAAGCAATCATGCATATTAGTACCAAGGGCATAAATGCATTTCGCTAACAAACTACCAGCAAAGGAGTTTAAATTAAAACACTCCTTTCACCCTGGATAATCTCATAAAATACCACCACCTGGGAAACTTATTGATTAAAGTTCTAAATTGACTCTTACTTGGAAAGAGATCGGGAAAGGCCTTCTGCCTGTGTCACAGAAATTAGGGAGTAGTCTATTGAAGCAAGCATCAGAAAGACAGATATCATCTTTAAGGTGAGCACCGGGGGCAGCTTTTCGGAATCCCTGAAAACCTGATCCGCCTTGCCTGTCAGGTTTTCTTTGTCATGACCTTGTCATGGGTAGGGTCTCGTGTGTTGGCTTCCGGCAGATTCCCTCTTCCATTGATAAGGGCCCTTGAATTATATTAGGCTCACTTGGGTTGTCTAGGATAATCTTCTATTTATGTATTTGCCCTCACCACCCAGCATGTGGCATCTTAGTTTACCAACTAGGCATCAAACCCCTACCCCCTGCAGTGGAAGCATGGAGCCCTAACCACCGGACCACCAGGGTACACCCTAGGATAGCCCTATTTAAAGTCAAATGATTAGTAACGTAAATGGCATCTGTAACCTTAATTCCAATTTGTTATGTGTCCCAACATATTCACAGACTACAGAGTTTAGACAAAATTGTGGAGGCATCATTGTATCTAGCACAGTAAGTGACAGTATTTTTAAAATTTGACAGAATGCTATATATTTTGCTTTTTGGTGGGAGGAGGAACATATGGACACACTATTGTATGTAATTTCTGGGAGTTCATATACTCCACTAAAGCTCATGTAGTATATCTGGTTTAGATATTTACCTCTGGGACTACAGAGAGCAAAAATTGTCTATTTACGATAATATGAAGTCTTAAGTACAGCTATATGGTTTTTTAAAATTCTTTCAGTATATATAATAAATATATATTATATAATAAACATTTATATAATGCATATATATGTTGCTTTGTTTTTTATGTATGTTGTGTTATTTGAATGTTTGCATACATTTTTGTGTATGTTGTGTTGTTAACTTAAGTGTTGTGCTTTGAGTGGGAAGTCTGCAATTCATGAAAGTAATTTACACAATGTTATAGGCTATTATGATTTTTTTCCTACCAGGGTTGAAATCCTAAAGTAGTTTAAAATACACTCCTAGCATTTGTTCAATATGGGATGTCATTTATAGCGGTTTATAACCTTAAGCAGGTTTGTAAATGGGGCTTTTCTTGTGGTTGAGCAGTAAAGAATACGCCTGCAAGGTAGGAGATGTGGGAGAGGAGGGTTGGATCTCTGGTCTTGGAAGAAGCCCTGGAGGAGGGCATGGTAACCCACTCCAGTACTTTTGCCTGGAGAATCCCATGCACAGAAGAGCCTGGTGGGCTACAGTCCAGAAGGTCACAAAGAGTTAGACACGACTGAAGCGACTGAGCACACACACTCCTAGGTCTGTAATTATGAGAAATGGTAAGTTATAATGACTGTCATATATGTGATCATATGACAGGAGAGTGGTGGTAACTGGAATGACGTATGAATTGTTTTTTCATTAATTTTTTGTTGTTGTTGACCAAGATGAAAACAATCATATGAAATCCACCTTGCCAGAAACTAACATAGTTTAAGGGAGAGGATGCACCAAAATGCCTTCTGGGCATTTCTTTCCTGAACTGCCAGTGTTATGAATCCTAATATGGTAGTTCGGCAATGGCCTAATTTTTCATCAGAGAAACCTTGGACAAATTCTCTTTATAACTAAATGGCCCTGTTCTGGAAACGGTGATACTCACTTTTCAACCACTATGTTCATTAATTGCCCTGTTCCCATTAATATTTTGAAAAGTTACATTGCTTTAAGCAAATAAATCGAATACATGTACATTTTCTTCTTAGCACAACACTAATAAAAGAAGCATTGCATTACATCCCCCATATGGCACATACCACATGGTCAGCCTGCTCCTGGTGTCACAGCCAGGATCACACCCCGAACACAGGGCGCCTCCTGCGGAAGATGGTGGTCGGTGGGTTCTGCACCCAAGGCTCCAGATCCTGGGCAAGCCAGGCCTTCCCCCGCCACGCTCTGCTTCCTTGACTGGTAAGGGCCCAGAACTGCCTCACAGGTGCTATACTGGCTGGAAATTTTGGGTTTGATGTGGGGCTGCTGGGTGAGGTGAGGGTGGGAGCTTTAGCTCTCTCCTGCTCAGCAAGACCTTTCAGAGGCTGGACACTCTGGGACTGGGAAGCCTGCCGGTTCTTGGGCTGAGAGCAGGTGCCGCTCCCCACCAAATCGCATCTCCTCACCAGTAAAATGGATGCGTACACTAGCCCCCGGGAGATTGCAGCAGATTGCGGTGCCTCCCTGCTTACCCTGGTCAGCCTGTCACAGGCTCTGCCCACAGCGGGTGTCTTCCCAACTGCATGCAGCTTGGTCTGGTGTTTGCAACCGCCCGGCCCTGCGTGCAGTACGCTCCGATCACCTTGTCCATTACGGACCTGGTAAGCCCACCTTGCACTGATAAAAAAGGAGCATTGTAAAACTAAAGTTGCTCTTTCATGAATTGTTTGTAAGGCACACTATCACACCAGTTTAGATGATACTTGCATCTCCACACTTGGCTAGCCTTGAGCTAGTGAGCAGTGAAAAGAAAAAAAAAAAAAACAAAACAGCCATGTTGCTAATGACCGAAAGTAAAGAAACATTATTATGCTTTCAACGGAATGGTGTGTGTATCGGGAGTGTTAACATCCCACAGGAACAAACTGCTTTGGGCAAAATAATGGAAAGAAAAACGAGTTTTGGCAACTGGCAGTTGCTACAACCCTTCTGCTGAAAAAGTGGGTGGCTCTTAAAAGAGCCTTTGGAATATGAATAGACGCCCCTTTGTCGAAATCACTTAGAACTGGTGTACTTGGTGACGGCCTTGGTGCCCTCGGACACCGCGTGTTTGGCCAGCTCCCCGGGCAGCAGCAGGCGCACGGCCGTCTGGATCTCCCTGGATGTGATGGTCGAGCGCTTGTTGTAATGCGCCAGGCGCGACGCCTCGCCCGCGATGCGCTCGAAGATGTCGTTGACGAAGGAGTTCATGATGCCCATGGCCTTGGACGAGATGCCGGTGTCCGGGTGGACCTGCTTCAGCACCTTGTACACGTACACGGAGTAGCTCTCCTTGCGGCTGCGCTTGCGCTTCTTGCCATCCTTCTTCTGCGCCTTGGTCACCGCTTTTTTAGAGCCCTTTTTTGGGGCAGGAGCGGACTTGGCTGGCTCAGGCATAACTAACAAACAGTGCACGTTCCAATCAAAGAAAAAACTGTGCTACTGTTACATTGGTCCTGATATTTGTAGAAGCAGTATGCAAATATGGTATGTAAAGTTTGCAGTCTGATTGGATAAGTTTTGTAAGTAGTATGGAGGTATGCAAATTATGTGCCATCAGTTCTCGTTTTTAATTGGTTGCTACTGTTAAGACAGTTTAGCCAATCAAACAGCTTAATTTACAATTCGGCTTACAAGTATAATTGCCTCTGATTTGCTAAGCTAATTTGTGTTCCTATTTTTTTTTCTTCCCTCGCGGTGTGGTCTAGATTGTTAAGATGTCTGGACGCGGAAAACAAGGTGGCAAAGCCCGGGCTAAGGCCAAGACACGCTCCTCGCGGGCTGGACTTCAGTTCCCTGTGGGTCGAGTGCACCGTCTGCTTCGCAAAGGGAACTATGCCGAGCGTGTCGGTGCGGGTGCACCGGTGTATCTGGCGGCGGTGCTGGAGTACTTGACGGCCGAGATCCTGGAGCTGGCGGGCAACGCGGCCCGGGACAACAAGAAGACCCGCATAATCCCGCGCCACCTACAGCTGGCCATCCGCAACGACGAGGAGCTCAACAAGCTGCTGGGCAAAGTCACCATCGCTCAGGGCGGCGTCCTGCCCAACATCCAGGCCGTGTTGCTCCCTAAGAAGACCGAGAGCCACCATAAGGCCAAGGGCAAGTAAACTGGAATAGTCTAGTTCTTGTTCCTTGAGTATTCGATCTTAGCCAAAGGCTCTTTTCAGAGCCACCCACGTATTCATTAAAAGGGCTTACATTTTTTTTTTAATCCGAATGCTTTTCAGTACAGTTTGTTCATCTTTATGTCAATATTTACATTTTGAAACGCCAATCACCTGGTTTAAAGTTAGAAAAATTTATTTGCTATGTATGTGATCTACAGAAGCCTTCTATAACAAGTAACTTAAATTGATCAATTCAGCAGGTTCTCAGGGTTGTAAATCTTGAGAAAAGAGTTGCAGTAAGATTGAAAAGTAGATACTGAAAGTTGACATGGAGATAGTGACCTACAGTTGTTAAAGTCACTCTAGTGCTACTCCTTGTTGAAAGGAATTATTTTCCATTTTAATGGGACAAATTGATCTGCAGTTCACACTTTCGCTTTTAATAGCCAGTCTCTACTGAGCTGTGCCCTAGTTAATTGTGAATAGACATACAGTACTTCATAGACTGGAGCTAAAATTCATTTAGGTAGGCTTAATACTGGGTCACCTTGAGTTCAAGGAGCAAACAGTTACACTTGGTTTAATACAATAGGAAGTGTGAGATTATTTCAGGGTTAATGGTTTTAGTGCATTCTCGAAAATTCTGTACAAAGAAATATCAAGAATCTCTAATAAGAATTGAAGCCTGCACAGGCCCCAGTCTGTCTGGTTTGGGGTTACTATATGTTTCAGCTTGTCTCCCAGGAAGACAAAGTCCTCTTTAATAGAATATCTAACAAAGTTGGGTTTCGTATCTTCTAGGCAGAGGAGTTCAGAGATTGAGACCTGGACTTTCATTTGAGGTAGAGGTAACCAGACCATCCAAACTGGTATGATTAACCCAGTTAACCCACTGTTAATCCAGTCTGGATTCATAACAGTTATAGTAGTTGACTCTTTAATAGTTCCTAAAAGGTGTTATGTCTTTCCAGAAGGTGTCTTTCCTCTCCCTTTCCCCCATATTTTAGAGATATAATCAGATCACAACCTATATGAGTGTAAAATCTGAAACTTTTATATATCATTATTATACACTGTACTGTAATTCTAGGGATTCTTTTCTCTTATGACCACAGCTCTCACTCCAAGCAAAAAATTGACACTGGTACATGATGGCTTGGAATGAACTGCAAGAGCCCATCCAGTGACTGCCAAGGGAAAGCCATTTAGGTCTTATGGGGAAGTTAGAGGAGGGTGTGTTCAGGGGGCCTGGTTTGGGGGTTACAATACGTTTTCAGGCTTCTTTCCAACTTCTGCTTTCTTATGATCTCTGAACCACTAAAGTGATGGTTCTCAATCCTATTATGTCTAACACTCTTTCTGTAACAAATACTGTAGATACTCCCTTTCTTATACTGAAGTGGAATTTATAGATAATACAATCTACCAATACATAGCTGTAATATAAAAAAGAAAATAAAAGGAAAGTACTTTGTTTAAAGAGTTCAAAAAGAGAAATGTAGAAATTGATGCAAAATTAGCTTTACTAAACTTGAATGAGGATATAAAAATAACTTGACCAACCACATGCAACATACGCCTTTTCAGAAAGTGATTAAAAAAAAAAAAAGCCAGTCTCAGGTGCCAAATTTTAAAATTTTTATTCCACGAAAAACATTAAGCATTGTGATAAACTGTGTTAAATTCTGCGGAGAAAAGCCACAGAACGTTGTAGAGAAATGGCTTAAGGAGACATAGGCGAGAAAGGGTTGAAAACAGCCAGTCAAAAGAAGGCTCACGTTATCGGGGAGTGAACTTGTCTACCAATACGTTCACTGCGAGCCATAAGGAACAGTTGACTTGTCCAATCAGAACGGGACTCTCTTTATATATACTGGAAGAAAGGGGCAGGGCTTCGTTTTTCCATCAGTTAGCCGCTTTTGGGAAATCTGTCATGGCTCGCACTAAACAGACTGCTCGCAAGTCCACCGGCGGCAAGGCGCCGCGCAAGCAGCTGGCCACCAAGGCGGCCCGCAAGAGCGCGCCGGCCACTGGGGGCGTGAAGAAGCCGCACCGCTACCGGCCCGGCACGGTGGCTCTGCGCGAGATCCGCCGTTACCAGAAGTCCACGGAGCTGCTGATCCGCAAGCTGCCTTTCCAGCGGCTGGTGCGCGAGATCGCGCAGGACTTCAAGACCGACCTGCGCTTCCAGAGCTCGGCCGTGATGGCGCTGCAGGAGGCGTGCGAGGCCTACCTGGTGGGGCTCTTCGAGGACACTAACCTGTGTGCCATCCACGCCAAGCGCGTCACCATCATGCCCAAGGACATCCAGCTCGCCCGCCGCATCCGTGGGGAGAGGGCCTAGATGTTTTTCCCCCAATAAGTACCAACTTTGAACCCAAAGGCTCTTTTCAGAGCCACCACTTTTTCTGTGAAAGAGTTGTGTGCTGGCATCTCCATTTCGAGGGAAGAGAAACCCCACGTAGCTCAGGTAAAATAGGTACCACAAGCTCTTTTAAGAGTAGTTGGGTGGCTCTGAAAAGAGCCTTTAAGAAAGTAATCCTCTTAATGCTGCTACTTCTTGGGGATCGCCTTTTTTGGCTTGACCGCTTTAGGCTTGGCTACCTTGGGCTTATGAACTTTAGCCTTGACCGGGCTCTTGGCCGCCTTGGGCTTGGTTATCTTCACCTTTTTCGGGCTTTTGGCCACTTTCTTGGCCCCAGTAGTAGGCTTCACCTTCAAGGTTTTCTTAGCGGTTTTTTTCGGGGCGGCCACACCCGTGACTTTCTTGGACTTCTTAGCCGCCCCGGTAGCCTTCTTGGGCTTGGCCGCGCCCGCCTTTTTCGCCTTGGGTTTGGTCTCCCCGGTGGCCGCCTTCTTGTTGAGCTTGAAAGAGCCGGAAGCCCCGGTGCCCTTGGTCTGCACAAGGGTGCCCTTGCTCACCAGGCTTTTAAGACCCAGTTTGATGCGGCTGTTGTTCTTCTCCACATCGTAGCCCGCAGCCGCCAGTGCCTTCTTAAGCGCAGCCAAAGACACGCCGCTGCGCTCCTTGGAGGCGGCGACAGCCTTGGTAATGAGCTCGGACACTGGGGGCCCGGACGCCTTGCGCTTCGCGGCACCGGTGGACTTGCGGGCCTTTTTCTTCACGGCTGTCTTCTCCGCAGGAGAAGGAGCAGGAGGCGCGGCAGGTACAGTTTCAGACATGATTGTCGATTTGGTTGTCTAACAGTAAAAAAATAAAGTATCTGAGTTGAGTAGCCGGGCCTCCGAACGTCTCTGTATTTATACACAGAGCGCCACCGCGCGCTGATTGGTTCCCAGCTGTCTTCATCTTGACAGCAACCTAGTCTCAGCTCTGTCCCGGAATTGTGTTTGTTACAATTCAAGAAAGCAAAAAATAAAAAATTTCCTGTGGAGGCATCACACCAAGTATATTCTACAATGAACCAGGACATCTCATGGTTTGAGACTTTTGTGGTTACTTCCTCCAGTTTTTATCACGTTGTTCAAAGCCTTTTTCAAAAGCCCCTGACAGTCATGCAGATTCAGAGGTCAGAAGGCCAACTTTTTTATTTTCTTTTAAAATACGAATGTTCTCTTTGTGTCTTCAATAACATGCTCTCAAGCGACATTCTATAGATTCTTGGCTTTTCATGCCTTCAACAACGCCTTGATTCTTATTGAGATTTACCCAGAAAATCTGTTTCATATGAAGAGAAATAACACAGACTTTTTCAGGACTTCCCTACATAAAACTGTATAGTAAAGGCTCCTTGGAATAGTAGCAATATCTGATAAGAAAAGTCATTATTTAGTTTGAAAAAATTTTATCATAGCTTCTTGTGACTACTTAGAGCATTAGTTAATTTGGGGCCTTTACGCATTCAAAATTTGTCTAGGAAAATGGCAAAAGCAATAACTAATGATCATCTTGTCATGACAGTTGTGCTTGTGTTGCACTAGCTGATGGCAGAGAAGATCCATGTAAAGACTGCTTTATGGGTTTTAAAAATTATTTCATTTACCTTGATTTTACTAAGAAGGATCACTTATTAAAATGTTCACAAGCTCTTGAGTTCTGAGTTCTGTCATGCTTCTGGAAGATCACTTTGGGAAAGTAAGTAACAGAATTAAGGAATATACACATGCACAACACTCACACACCTACATAATTCCTTTAAGAGAGTGAAATTTAAAAGCATTTATATTCACTACTATGTTTCTTATTTAATCAAGGATATACGTTTATAGGAAACATATTGTAACTTACTTTCTGTTCACTAGGAAATAGATTGATGGGAAAAAGTAAAAAGAGCTTTGATTTTCTTTTTCACTCCTCAAAATATGTCTTTAACATACTGTGTTTATATTTAAGTAGCCTGGACTTCTTTGTATTTTTGATAAAGCTTATGAGCCCCTTTCCAGAGTAGTACTTTTTAGTGCTTAAGTTAATATACATAGGATTACAAAGGAAAACAGTTGTATTAAAATATCATTATCAAATTTATTAAAAAATGAAAATTGCTGAGGTATGCATGTATTCTTTATTAATTCACTACATAACAAGATTACCCATATGACCAAGTTTAGAAGGTGTAATATATTTAAACAATATGAGAGATGGAGATTGACAGCTGCTACTGCGACTTGATATGAATATAGCTCAGGTTCTGTCACCCAGACTGTTTGTTGCCTGCATTCAGAATAGGAGGAAATGCTAAGGTTTGGTTGTAGTATAATAAAAACAAAGTTGGAGTTTTTGTTCTATACAATGATCTGAATCCATCTATATGTCCCAGGTTAAAAGTCTATTCTGGAATTTGTTTCTGTGCACTGCACACTCATGGAGCAGGTTTGATAATCTTGGTTGTCCTCACAGACCATAGAGCTCTGATGATCTTGGTTCTCCTCAAAGATCATGGAGAAAAAGAAAAAAAAAAATCTAAGTCAACTGGAACTCAGAGGAATAAACCATTTATTAAATCTTTATGTGAGCTTCCTTGGTGGCTGAGACACTAAAGGAACTGCCTGCAATGTAGGAGACTGGGGCTTGATCCATGGGTGGGGAAGATCTGGAGGAGGGAATGGTTACCCACTCTGGTATTGCCTGGAGAATTCCATGGACAGAGGAGTTTGGTGGGCTACAGTCCATGGGGTCACAAAGAATCAGACAGGACACAGCGACGAACACATTAAAAAAAAAAAAAATCTAAATTTTTATGTGCTATTTTGTGGAATCCTCAAAGGAAGGTTTTAGTAAGTTAATTACTTAGACTTTCACTTTAGAGGCATGAGTTTTGAGTGGAGTTGAGAGAACACAGGAAACTGTAATATGTCATAATAAATAATGCTGAATAATTGCTTATTTGCAGATGTTTTAAAAAAGTTGTATTATCTCTTTTAAATTTCAGTGCTCATAATTTACACTTTCTTATACATTTAAAAGGGGGAAAAAAATGTATAGACTGCTCAAGGTTACAAGCCAGTATGTGGAGCATGCTGTCTCCAGAGCGTGACTGGAGTAATGCCACTGGCTTGCAGAAATAGAATGTGGTTACAGACATAATGCCAGATACAACCTGTCTGTAAATTAATTTATAATCATACCACAAATTTTAGGCTTACAGCCCAATAAGTTTTTTGTAATTCACTTTAGGGTATATATATTTATATATCTCCAGTGTAGCACTCAATGGCTTTGTTTAAATCTGTAGTTAAAGCACTTCATAAAGGACAATAGCATGTGTTATCTGATTATGTAATATTCTAGGAAGTCTGAAGAAGGTATCAGGCTTCTTTGGGGAAAGTGTATAAACTGTTGCCTCAGTTAATGGCTGCCCGTTTTGTATGCACGCACAAACACAGGTATCCATAAATAGGAAAAAAAATTATATTCCATCTCCAAGAGCCAGTCCCTGCAGGCGCCTTGCCTAGCTGCTACAGCCGTGACCAAGCGACAAATAAGCGAAGGGCGGGAACTGAACGTGGTTACCGCCCCTGCTCTTGCGGTTTTCAAACAGGTCCGTTAAGTTACTATAAATACACTAAAGGCGCCCTTAACCTTGTTCGCTGTCGTACAATTTGCGGCTCCAACATGTCTGGACGTGGTAAAGGAGGAAAGGGTCTCGGAAAAGGTGGTGCTAAGCGCCATCGTAAAGTTCTCCGGGATAATATCCAGGGCATCACTAAGCCTGCCATTCGTCGTCTGGCCCGCCGTGGTGGTGTTAAGCGGATCTCTGGGCTTATCTATGAGGAGACTCGCGGCGTGCTGAAGGTGTTTCTGGAGAACGTGATCCGGGACGCGGTCACCTACACCGAGCACGCCAAACGCAAGACTGTCACCGCCATGGATGTGGTCTACGCGCTCAAGCGCCAGGGCCGCACCCTTTATGGCTTCGGCGGCTAAGTTCCAGGCTGCTATTTGGCATAGCCGAGTAAAACCAAAGGCCCTTTTCAGGGCCACTTAATCCATTCACTTAAAAGAGTTTGGCGCTTTGTGGTGTAATATGGAGGTGTTTAGGCTGCTACTGGGTTTAGTCCATTGGCTTAACTTTTTTTTTTTTTTTTAGCCCCCTGCATTTCAGGTTGCAGACCACCAGAGCTGATTCAACTGCCATTTAATATACTTGAACTGTATATTTAGCGAGTAGTAGTGAACAGGCCGGAGAAGGCAATGGGCAACCTACTCCAGTACTCTTTCCTGTAAAATCCCATGGACACAGGAACCTGGTAGGGTGCAGTTCATGGGGTCGGAAAGAGTCGGATACGACTGAGCGACTTCACTTTCACTTTTCAATTCCATACACTGCAGAAGAAAATGGCAACTCACTCCAGTGTTCTTGCCTGGAGAATCCCAGGGACTGGTGGATCCTGGTGGGCAGCCGTCTATAGGGTCGCACAGAGTCGGACACGACTGAAGTGACTTAGCAGCAGTAGCAGTGAACAGGCCAGCTCAGTGCGGTAGACACTTAGCACAGCCGTTAGTGAAAAGCTGAAAGGCGCCTAGAAACAAAAAGAAAACTGATGCTAGGAAGATGGAAAAATCTAGATACGCATTGAGCTTGAACTGAAGATACTAAAACAGCATGTCTTCTCGGACGTAATAAAGGGGAGTGTGTGATCATAAAATATTTTGAAGGCTGTTAAATTCTACTAGAGAAAACTACTTGGTAATTATTGTAAATCGACTGTCTATATTATATATATATTTAGCCGTCTACGGGGTTGCAAAGAGTTGGACACCACTGAGCAACTGAGCACACTGCACACGTTTACAAAGTCATTATGTTGGCTCTAAATATTTAGAGTTTAAATATTTAATAATCTATGCCATTGAATAAATAGTTTATTAGGTTTTCAAGAAAGAATCTCAATATCCCTCTTCAGAGATAAAAAGGAGAAGGAAACTGTGCACAGGGATGCTATTCTTTGTCTCTCGTTGGATAAGCCATTTAAACCTCTGTATGACTCTTTCCTTATCTGTAAAATGGAGATAACTTTACTTCCAATCTTACAGTTTTGGGGGTGAATGACATTAACTAGTACTTCATATTTTGGCTACTGTCTGTCACATGGTAAATGCTCTATGTTTTGGCTGTTGTTATTTGCATTATTGGTATTCTTATTTTTCATGACATCAAAGAGACATGGAGAAAAAGAATGTGGCATTTGAACCATGATGACATACACTTGAAGTCTTGAATAATCATTTTCTATAGGTCTTTAGCAAATTGCTAACCACTGTTCCCTTATCTGTAATGTAGGTGTAACTTAATATTTTTGTGAGGATTGAGTGAAACAACCTAGGAATATGTTTATGTATATATTCAACAAATATAGTTTACATATGTTCTTAAGAAATTGAAAGTGTACAAATGGAAGTTCTTTTGGATGTAAACATTAAAAAACCAAACAATTCCAGATAATTAAAAACTTTCCAGAAAGTTATATTTGCTGACTATATTTAAGGAATTACTGAACACTTAGGCCTTTTTCTTCAGTCCCTTTTTTCTTCAATTTTAGGAAAACAAATCTGATTAATCCAGGTGGGCAGATGCGTACATTAATCAAATATGATGGCCCAAGACAGAAGGTATCAAGATAATGGCCACACATGGGTCTCAGTCCTAAGTGGAGTTGTTTCCAGGCCATAAACTCAGTTTTATCACCCAGAACTCCTGTGTTAGCTTTTTCTTCTCCATATATTACATGTTCTCAAAACCTACTACATAAACAGCATCTTTATTTGCTGGGCACTTTTTTTGTAAGCCAAGCTCTCACATCCCCCCAGAGCTAATGAAACAGAAACTTTGGGAATGGGGCCAGCAATCTATCCTTTAACAAGCCATCTGGGTGATTCTGATGCACACTCAAGTTGTTTATAGATTCAGTACATAATTCAGCTCTTGGCACTTGAATGTACAATGAACTTGGTGGATGTACCTTATATCTGTCTAGAAGGTTCTTACATCAGGCAGTGCACGTGCCATCTCAAAGGTCATTTGCCCTCTTTGCTTACTAATACAACCTCAGTTTTTTTAAGGTCTCCATTTTCTCCCTGCTTTGTGACCCAGGGAAAGCAGAGTCCCTCTCTTAGGCTCAGGAGTGGGGTTCTGATTTCACCCAAGTCCCTCAGTATTGATTAATTGGGGTGGGGGGTGGTGGTGAGGGTGGGTATACAGCCAGTTGTTTGTGGCTCTGAGAGCCTTAAACAGTGGAGTTCAGCTTCCCCAAGAATGTAGTCATTAGGCTGAAATTGGAGTTGCAGTCAATAAACTGTGTATATGCTGGGGATGGATGTGGAATCAGGAACACTTCAGGCAAAAAATAATTGCAGAGGCCTGGAGGCTGGAGAAAGAGGCCCACAGTTTAAAGGATGCAGGGGAAGGAGGGTGGTGGGAACAAAACCAAAAGCAATGAAGAAACACAAAACAAAATAGAGAAAAAAGAAATCATTTTAGTTTGGGTTGGAGAGAGATGAGGGCCAGACTTTGCAGGGCTTGTGGCCATAGCATAGATTTTTTGATTTCTGTGTGATGGGGGATCCCAAAGGCTGTGAGCCAGTTAAAAAAAAAAAAAAGCGAAATATAAAGCCCCCCACGGTGACTCTGGAATAGAAACCAAATTCACTATGGACAGAAGAGTTTCGGTATCACCACAAACTCAAAGCAAGGTGATCAGAATCAGTTCAAGAGCAATTGTAATTGGCAACCTGAAAATAAACTGGTTTGTATCCTTGTGCTTATTTTTTACCTTCTTTAGACAATAAAAGGGAACTCGGATAGACTGGCCAGGGAGGCCGCCTAGGATTGTTTCTGAGACAATAATAGCAGTTCTTGGGTGGATTTGGCATTTCCAGGTGTGGGTGAGGTGCCCTTAACCGAACGCTTCATTCCTAACTTCCAAAAGGACGCCTCTACCTTGCAGTTTCCGGAGAAATGAGTAAGAGCCCTGCCTTTTATATTTCGGGATTTATTCTCTTGAGCATAAACCGTAGGCTTTCAAACCTCGGTGTTCGGCTCACAACATTAAAAAGCATCTTTACATCCACAGTTCTTGTTTGCGTTCTGAGCCGGCGCTGAGGACCCTTTTCTTTGTCACCAGGATCGCTGCCTTTTCTGAACTGAGCGCGGGGAGGACTAGAGGCAGGATAGGGGGATGGGCTCGGAAGATCACAGTGACCGGATGGAATGGAGATTGTTGAGACAGGTTTCATAGTATGTGGCCGCACCGGTAAGAAGACTGAGTCGGCTGAACACAGAATTCTGTGAACTTTCCAAGTTTAGTTTGTAAAATGAGTCAGGAGACTGGGATGATTGTATTCTTAAAAAAAAAAAAAAAAATCGAATGATGAGAGCCTCTTTAAAATCCAGGAGGAAGATAAAAAAATAACTTGTCCCCTTACTGGAGAGATGCAGCCAGCAAACATGTAAAGAATCTTAGATAAAATGCTTAGCCAGTACTCGAAAGCCCTAGGCAAAGACCTAGGATAGGTGAGAGGGAGTAAAAGAAAGTAGTAGTAGTGAAAAATCAGTCGTGTCCGACTCTTGCGACCCCATGGACTGTGTAGCCCGCAAGGCTCCTCTGTCCATGGGATTCTCCAGGCAAGAATACTGGAGTGTGTTACCATTTCCTTCCCCAGGGGGTTTTCCCGATCCAGGAGTCGAACCCATTTCTCCTGCATTGCAAGCAGATTCTTTACCGACTGAGCTAGGAGGGAAGCCCTGGATCCACACAAAAGAATCTGGGTAGAGACCCACAACGTCATACTTACAAAGTTCCGGTTTTAGAGAGAGGGATTTTCAAACCTAAATGCTGCCTCTCGAATTCCGCAGGGTGACGGTTTACATATAACCAAGATCAGAGATTCATAAAGTGCCCATAGAAGCCAGCGGAGGACCCTGTACAAACTTTATGAAGATAACCTGGAGCTCCAAGAATTGAGGTTAGCAGGTTATTTCAGCCGACATTCAGTTAGGCTGCTGGGGACCTTTGTAAGTGGAACCGTTGGTATAAAGCACAGGCATTAAGTCGGCTACCTAAGTGCTCTGATAAATCAGTGTTTATGATAACACGTATTTAACGGCTCGTATTCACTCTCGTGCGCAGCTCTGATAGTGAAAACAGGAGGTGGCTCTGAAAAGAGCCTTTGGGTTTGACAGTTGCTACAAATATATCTACTTGGAGCTGGTGTACTTGGTGACGGCCTTGGTGCCCTCGGACACCGCGTGTTTGGCCAGCTCCCCGGGCAGCAGCAGGCGCACGGCCGTCTGGATCTCCCTGGATGTGATGGTCGAGCGCTTGTTGTAATGCGCCAGGCGCGACGCCTCGCCCGCGATGCGCTCGAAGATGTCGTTGACGAAGGAGTTCATGATGCCCATGGCCTTGGACGAGATGCCGGTGTCCGGGTGGACCTGCTTCAGCACCTTGTACAACGTACACGGAGTAGCTCTCCTTACGGCTGCGCTTGCGCTTCTTGCCGTCCTTCTTCTGAGCCTTGGTCACCGCTTTTTTGGAGCCCTTTTTAGGGGCCGGTGCGGACTTGGCTGGTTCCGGCATTTTGAACGCAGTTTCCTCTGAGAGAAAATAAAATGGCGTCTGCGCCACCGAATTTGTAGGCAACGTTATGCAAATGAAGGCCTACTTTCGCAATTGCTGATTGGTTCACCTGCATGCAAATAAATGATTCCAGATCTACTTTCTCATATCCTGTAACAGTTTTCCAGCAATCAAGCCAATTTTAAAATCTAGTTAAGCTTTTAATAATAAATTCCGTTTTTTCGCGTTTTTTAATAAAGAGGAGAAAATAAAAAATAAATAAATTCCGTTTCGTTTATAACAATTCAGACTACTTTGTTTTAAAAACGAGAAGTCACTCTCGCCAGTGCTTTGAAATTACCAAAGATGCAAAGCTCGAGGCACAGTTCTGCTATTTGCAAGGCCCGTTTATACCTCCTTGAAAGCAGTATCTTTACATCTGAATCTAGATTTTAGACCAGGGAGAGGGAAAGAACTATGGTCATCCAGACAATTCCGACTACAATGTTTCCTATTGTACACAAGATACAGAAATAGCGAGTGAAAATAAAGGGTGGGGGGGAAAGTGCATCACTTAAAGGGAGATAAGGAATTTCGTAGCCCATATGGCTCCAATCCTTCGAATTGGAAAGGATCAAATAACATCTAGTTTAGCTACCAAGGCAGGTCACAAATAGTTCTTCAGTCTAACCAGTGAAAAGATTACACACACACACACACACACACACACACACACACACACACACACACTGAAATGGAAGAACCCTCTGTTTAACGCCTGTTTAACCCCGTGTTTAAAGTTTTTATTATTTTCATCATCATCTTCGACTGAAACCAGCTCTTGGCTAATTCTTACAATACCATCTATCTTTTCTGCAGAGAGGTGTGCTCCCTGAATTTGCCTTTTTTCCTAACATTCCCCAGGCTCCTTAGCCTTCCACAGACAACACCTAACCCCTAGTTTCAAATTTGTGAGCTAGGTTCGTAGCGCCTCCTAGTGCCTTATGAAGGCAAACATAAACTCCAGGCGGGAAGCCTCTTCACCACCTACTTTTCTAGATACAATGTGAACAGGTTGATTGTGATTTATTTATTCAGCAATTATTTATTTAGCGTCTATCACGTTGGGAACATTCTACCAGGAAGTTGGGATGTCCAAATATAAGATTATAACAAATAGTATCAAATCGAAGAGGAAAAGAGACACTATAGAGGTAGGGCTTCCAAAGAAACAACAGCCTTAGATTCCGTCTTTCCCTCAGACAATGATTTCCAGATGCTGAAATTATCAGATACTATGAAATAACAATTTACTGATAAAGAAATAAAAATCTGATAATGCAATCAAGGAACAAGGTACAATCAAAACCAACCTAATTTTAAAAAATAAAAAAACAATAGAAATTCTAGAAATCAAAAAGAGCTATATTCCATACAGATAAAATTAAAATCTATTGATAAGATGAAACATTCGGGACCTCATATGCCCATGATTACACAACCACTAACTAAATAAGGTAACAACTGACAGAATTAGCAGGAGAAGTTCAAATTTAGAGCTGTTGGTCAAGTTTTCATTATATTAAGCTTATAAATTCTCACAGCAAATAACAAAAAAAAATGTGTATGCTTATAGAAAGTTTGGACAACACAGTCAACAACCTTGATCTGTGTGTGATTCTTGTACTTCACACATAGAGAATGTCCAGCTTTTAAAGCACACATTTAATAATCTCAAAAATTCAACACTGGCTTCAGAAAATGTCACAATGAATACAAAAGAATCAGTTTCATATATATGACACTCTTTTGCTTTATCTAATTAAAGAGCAATAGAAAAGATATTTTTAGGATAATAAAAATAAAACAATCTTGATATATGATTGGAAACTAAAAGCGCACTTCTAAATACAATGAATTAGAATATTATAAGGGAAACTATGCAATGTTATGAGATAAATATAAATGGAAATAATACACATGAAAATTGTTGGATGTATTAAAGGTATACTACAAGGGACATACATAATATTCAAAGCATATTTTAAGGAACAAGAATCACTAAAGATATACAAAATAGGTGTTCAACAATAACAAAAAGCTAGAAAAAAACAAGAAAGTAAATCAAAATTAAGTTGAAAGAATTGGTCTTAGAATTCTTAGAATGTGTTGTACTGCTGTGAACAATGCTCTGCTTCAATTCCATATAGGCAATTACTAATGTATAGAAAGGTCATATATTTTTATGTGGTGCACATATTTACCAACCCTACTGAGTTCTTATTTGATTTCATGGTGTGTTTATAGGTTCTCATGGATTTTCACATTGACATATTATTTTAAGTATGTCAACCTTAAAATTAAAAAATTTTTTTTTAATGGAGATAATCCACAAACGACAACCTTGTCCTTTGAAAAGTATTATAACAATAGACAAACATCTAAAAAAATTAATGAGGAAAAAAAATTAATGAGGAAAAAAAGATCATGTGTGTGAAAAAATTACACAAATAGAAAAAGGACAGTTGCTACCAAAAGAAAGATACTAAGCTTAACAGAAAGCAATAATTTTCAAGAAAAACTTAAGTAATGGGCTGAATAAACAAGTGATGATTATGGAAATAGGACTGGCAGTTTAAAAAAATTTTTTTTCTTGTACTCTTCAGTCTAAGTGATACCATACTTGGCTGGGTTTTACAGGTACTAGTGAAATTTAAGTAACTGACAATCTCTATTTTATAGATGTTTCAGTAGAAAAATAGCTATCTTGTTTTTTTGTTTTTTTTTGGCAAACTGTTTACCCTTACCTAAACTGGACAGGAACAATACAGAAAAAAAGAGAGAAATAGATGAGAAAAAGCTATAGTCTCATTTTACTTATGAAATTCCTTTTCTTTTTTTTTAAAGCTCTATTTAGAATGCAACCAAATGAAATCAAGAGATATCATTATTTAAAAAACAATAGTATATTATGTTGGGTTTATTATAAGAATGGAAGAAAAGTTTAACATTTGAAATCTGCCACTGTAAGAAATTAATAGAGAAAAGCTGTTATCATTTGCACAGATACTAGGAAAGTATTTGTTAGAGTATGAAATGCCTTCATTATTAATATTTTCAATAAACTAGAAGGATAGGAAAGTATTTGTTAGAGTATGAAATGCCTTCATTATCAATATTTTCAATAAACTAGAAGGATAAGGAGTAGCGAGTCACTTCATAAGAAGTAGCTACAGTGAGCACAACATTTAATAGTGCAATTTTAGAAGGATTTCAAAAGTGTAAAAAGACAAAAACTTTGTGGTCCTAATCTTATGCAACACAACACTGAGGGCCTGGCCAATATCATGAGACAAGTACAAGAAATAAGAAGGATAAGTAGGATAAGTATTCAACAGGAAAACATGTTATCCTTATTGTTTGAAAATAATATGTCATTGTAAAAATTAACAAGAATCTATAAACAATTAGATCGTCCTAAGCATAAGAGGGTTACTGAATATATGAGTACCACATAAAAATTCATGGCCTTTCTAGATTTGAAATAGAAAATTCAGACATTATTTACAAAAATATAATACAGTCTAAGGATTCTAAATCCAAGAAAAAATATTCCAGATCTGTATATATAAAACTATGAAATCCTGAAATAAAAAACAAGATTCACTCAAACTAAGAGACAGATATATGTTAGACTTCCTTCCTCAGTGATCAATGAAAAGAAATAGAGGAAAACAATAGAATGGGAAAGATTCGAGATCTCTTCAAGAAAATTAGAGATACCAAGGGTCATTTCATGTAACAATGGGCACAATAAAGGACAGAAATGGTATGGACCTAACAGAAGCAGAAAATATTAAGAAGAGGTGGCAAGAATACACAGAAGAACTATACAAAAAAGATCTTCATGACCCAGATAACCACGATGGTGTGATCACTCATGGAGAGCCAGACATCCTGGAATGCGAAGTCAAGTAGGCCTTAGAAAGCATCACTATGAAAAAAACTAGTGGAGGTGATGGAATTCCAGTTGAGCTATTTCGAATCGTAAAAGATGATGCTGTGAAAGTGCTGCACTCAATATGCCAGCAAATTTGGAAAACTCAGCAGTGGC